GGAATAAGAATAAAAATAATAATAAAAATGAAGGAAATGCGATGTCGTTTATACACAGTCTGAAAATTTCATTGTTGATTCCGGATGCTCTTCCCATATGACCAATAATAAGTCAATACTCACTAAACAAGAAAACTGTGCAATACAAATACAAATAGCGAAGAAGGACAATACACTTGAATCTAATACTATGGGAATAATACAAACAGATAATGTCAACTTCACAAATGTACTTTATGTGCCTAACTTAAAGAAAAACTTACTCTCTGTACACGGAATTACTAAAAAGATGGAGAACTTACATTTACTAAAAACGAAGTAATAATAAAGAAAAATGACAATATTCTACTAAAAGGTACTAAAAATATACATGGCCTATACAATATAAACTTATTAACTAATATTGGAGATGCCTTGTTATTAACAAAAACTGAAACTGCAGAAAATTGGCATATTAAATATGGACACCCAGGAAAAGAAACTCTTAAAAATATAATAAAATCTGTTGATGGTATAAATGTAACAAACAAAGAAATAGACTCACTTACCTCTACATGTGATGTCTGTATGAGATCCAAACAAACAAGACTGCCATTCTATTCACGCCATAGAGCTGAAAGAAAAATACATACCATTCACACTGATGTTTGTGGCCCAGTAACACCATCCACCTGGAACGAGAAAAGTTATGTATTATTATTTATTGATGACTTCACCGACTATACACAAACTGACCTGATCACTCACAAAAGTGAAGTATTTACCTATTTAAAGGAATATGTAATAGAAGTTGAGTCTCATACAAACCTAAAGGTCAGTATAATTCGTTGCGATAATGGTGGTGAATATACCTGCTCTCATCTCAAGGACTGGTGTAGATCCCGCGGTATACGGCTTGATTATACAGTAGCATATAGCCCGCAACAAAATGGAAAGGCTGAACGTTTCAACCGTACCCTGATGGAAAAAGTACGAGCTATGTTGCTTCAGTCAAACCTAGAAAAGGAAATGTGGGGAGAAGCTGTACTTGCTGCTACTTACCTGCTAAATAGAACACCAAAACATGGCGAAATAAAAACACCTATAGAAAAATGGACAAACAGAAGACCTAATGTTAAAAATATTCAAATCTTTGGTTCCGAAGTATACACAAAAAATCTACATCCATTGAAGAAACTGGAAGAAAGATCTGAGGAGATGATCATGGTTGGTTATGCGCCAACTGGATACAGACTGGATACCTGAAAAACGAATAATTACAATTAGAAGGGACGTCAATTTTAAAAACTTTGAAAAGAAAGATAAAGAACAAGAAAATAATAATAATACACCTGAAATACTTATAATACAAAATACAAATAACGAAAACATAATTTTAGAACAAAACAAACAGTTAAAAAGCAAAGTGAATATGAAGATTTATATACAGAAGAAGAATATTTAGAAGAAAATTTAGCTGATAATGAAATAGAAGACTATAATATCATACAAGAAAATGAAATAGAAGAAAACCAAGTAGAAGAGAATCAAGAAGAAAGAGAAAATTTAGAAAACAGATATATTACAAGAACAGGTCGAATATTGAAAAAACCTAGATATTTAGAAGATTACGAAACAAATAAAGCCCAAGGTCAAAACATACCAAATACCTACAAAGAAGCAAAGGAAGATAAAGACTGGTCAGAAGCCATAGATAAAGAACTATCAGCTTTAATAAAATTAGAAACTTGGACAGAAAAAATGCTACCTGAAAACAAACCTATAGATAAAAAATGGTTGTTTAAGGAAAAAGAAGATGGCACTAAGAAGGCCAGATTAGTAGCCCGAGGATTCCAAGTCAAGAAGGACGATAACAACCAATACCTATATTCACCTGTGGCAAGAATGTCTAGTATTAGAATGCTAATATCAAAGGCTCCGAATGAAGACCTACCAATAAGACAGATTGATATTCCAACTGCATTCCTAAATGGAAAGCTGAAATCAGATATTTATATAAAACCCCCTGAAGGTTACATACAAAAAAATAGAAATATGGTATTAAAATCAAACAGAGCTCTCTATGGTTTAACCGAATCGCCACGTTGTTGGAATGACACCATCAATGAGTTTGCTATAAAAAGAGGATTTAAAAGATCAGAATATGACTCTTGCCTATACTATAAAGAAGACTGCTGGATGATAATCTATGTTGATGACACATTACTGATAGGAAAGAATGCTGAGAAAACAATAGAAGATTTAAAAACAGAATTGCAAAAGATCTGGGGGAAGCAAAAAGGTTTTTAGGAATGGAAATCGAGAGAAACATAGATACCATATCAATGAAGCAAACTAAATTAATAGAAAAAATACTAACTAAATTTAACATGCTAGAAAGCAAGGATATGAGAACACCTATGGAAGTAAATTTTAAGATAAAAGGTAATGAAGAAAAGGAAGAAGGAGAAAAGAAAGATTTGTATCGAGAGATGATCGGAAGCCTACTTTATTTAAGCATGATGACAAGACCTGATATTACTTACCCAGTATCATATCTCAGCAGGTACCTGGATAAAGTAGATGAAACCGCCTGGAAAGCTGGAAAAAGAATACTGAGGTACCTGAAAACAAAAAAAGATAAAGGATTCATTTTTAAGAAATCACAAAATAATGACTTACTTGCTTATTCCGATGCTGATTGGGCAGTTGATGAAACAGACCGTAAAAGTGTAAGCGGAACAATAATACTTCACGGCAAGAACCCTGTAGCATGGTCGTCAAAGAAACAGCCCTGTGTGGCATTATCTACTGCTGAAGCAGAATATGTAGCAGCAGCAGTAACAGCTCAAGAATTACTAAACCTGAAAGGAGTTGCCAAACACTTAAAATGCCCTGGAAAAGAAAATACATTACTAGTGGACAATATAAGTACTATATCTATGTCTAAAAATTTCGAAAACTCAAAAAGAACTAAGCACATAGACATAAAATATTATTTTCTGAAGGATATAATAGACAAAAATATAATTTCCATTAAGTATGTCAACACAAATCAAAATCATGCAGATTTGATGACAAAAAGTTTATGTTCTGAGAAATTCTATAAACTGTTGGTAAATATTATAAACTAAATCAATACTGTTTTCATTGTAATTCAAAATTGTAAAATTAAGTTCTTTTAAATTTTTAAAACTTGTTTATGACTGATTTTGTAAAGCAATAGCTAATATTTTAACTTTTCAAATATTGTATAACTGAAATAAAATATGTAGTATGATTTAAAATATTGTAAAACTTTAATATTAATTAATAAAGATTGTAAAATTAAGGGGGTGTGTTGTAAAAGGCTGTATAATTTCACAACTTTGTCTAAAAAATAAATTAAAAACAACCACCACCATCTTTTTTTTAACAAATAGACGTATAGTATCCAAAAAATTATCTTGTTGTAAAACTTGTGTAAAACTATAAAATAAAAAGTGCTTGTGCAAATAAAAACAATAAGTTCATTCAGAAACTTTTATTTAAACTAATATTAAAAAAGTTTAACAAGTGTTTCGGATTAGATTCTTTTAAGTACTGTAGACATACAAGGTATCTTAAAAAAATGTTGACGGTATCTTATAAAAAACCTACTTTTAGTAGGTACGCTTGTTAACTGATTTTTTATCAGGTGTTATAATAATGTGTGTCTGATTTTAACTTTTTTAATATTATTTTAGTTTTCTTTTTATTTATTGAACAATCAGTTTATGTTTGGTATTGAAATATAATAAGTGTAAAGTTTCTAGTAAAAATTGTATCTCGATTAGATTCTTTTAAACACTGAATACAATAAAAATGACCACATCCAGCAGTATAAGATACCTTAAAAAAATGTTGACGTTATCATGTAAAAAACCTACTTTTAGTAGGTATACTTGTAAACAGTTTCATTCCCTCAGCTTTTCAAAGTAGATTGAAAATTGCTCAATGTGGATTTTTTTTATTGAATTTTAATAAAAAACTTATATTTAATAAAAAATACTTTTATTTTTTTCTCTGACGCTACTCTGTAGTGACGTCGAGTACTGGTCGCGTGATTGGTCGGTAGCGCAGTGACGCGGATATCGCCGTCTCGTTCGCGCTGCAGTTAAAACTTATATTGCTGTTTCGTTCGTTCGGTTGTATCTTTACAAACAGGTGGATGTATGAGTGTTGCATATGTAGTAAAGTGGGATCAGTTTTTGTTTGATGCAAGTAACAGCGTACCGTATCTACCCTTTTTGTTTTAATGTAAGACTACAAATGACTGACAACGATAAATCTGTGCAAGCACACACACGTACGGATTTGTACGGCACGGCTGGGGTGCGGCGCGGCGCTCGCGTCTGTCGACGGCGAGCGCCGCGCCGAGCCGCGAGCCGCACTCACCAATACATTCACACGCGGATTTGTCCGCGGACTTGTCGCCGGCGACAAATCCGGCGGATGGGCGCGCCTGTGAATACTGCTTCGGCCGTGCAGGAACAAGTGGTGCGGAGGCCCCGCCCACTGAGACCGGTTACATTCAAACGGCCGCTGCCTGCGTCCGCGCAGAACAATATGTATGCGCAAGCAAAATATGTTTGTCCGCTTGTGTATTAAAATATACATTTTATATTTAACAATTTTACACATTATATTTAAATTATATAATTATTAAGACAATGATATAGTATTATATAATAAGTGTTTTAATTTTTACTTTTAACATATAAAAACATGTAATAAATTATAGAAAATAACAATTTGTAATAAGTAGGTACACTACAACCACCAACCCCTATTTTATTATGGCGGTGCGAAGTTCGCTGGGACAGGTAGTTACAATATAATAATGACATGAATTGGATGAAATCCCTAAGTGATTTGATAAAATCCGGAGAAATTTGTAGCGATTTGATCAAACCCCTAACACTTCTTAGTAAAATGAGAGTAATTATTGAAGAAATGAATTTTGTGGTACAGTTATCAATATAAAATATCATATAACATAGGTCTAAGTCCCGCTTTGAAGTAGTGGACGCTTTGGTACGCAAGTGGCTGTTGAGGTACGGTGGTGACCCCAGCAAGTACAAGAAGCAGACGCGTGCCTTCGATGCCTTGGCCGCACTCGCCGATCGCATCATCCGGCAACATGTAAGTTATTCTACATAAGGAGCAATCAACTAAGAGCCATTTTAACAAACTTTCATATTTTACTATCAAAATCTATACGATACAAGCAAGGTAAGAAGCAGCGGTTACGTCCCCACTTTTAAAGCCCAAGCTCCCCTTGGATGGAATAGGGAGTTCAGGCCAAGACCACCCCGCCCAGATGCGGTTTTATAGGTGTTCCCGATTGCAGACTGATGCTACTGATATCAACGGCTATTTGTGTATTCTGAAGCACGGAGGAGCTCAGGATAGTAAGTTATTTGTAACCCTTACTATGACCTGCCATTGCGAATGTTTTTTTTTTTTTTTTATGTTAAAAGGATGGCCACCATAGCCTATAGACGCTTGCGATACCAAAAATATCACTCGCACCGTTGTCTACCCTGACCTAAACCCCTATGCCCTACATCTCTTGCTGCCACGATCACAGACTGAACGTGCTAACCATCATGCTATCGAGCTCCTCGCTTTTTAGGCAACTTCTATAAAATATATAAACGAGAACATTGTATGGGAGGTTGGTACAGATACCAAGTTCTTTGTAACGGAGCAAAAACTACCAAAATAAAGCTTATTTTTAATGTAGACTGCCAGTCTTTAATTGAATTAGATAGCTATTAATAAAAAAAAAAGTATAAAATGGGTTCTCTGGTGTATATACATATAAAGATATTTTTTTAACTAATTTGGAACAACTAAATGTCTACAAACACAAAGCAGTCAAAAATATTCAATAATAGCAAGCACGCTTCTATGTTGACACATAAATATTCAATCAACATAAGCATGATTGACCAGATCGTGAGTAAAGCTGTTTATATTTTTAATAATTCATCAGATTTTTTTACAAAAATATGCAGCGGGCCAATAAAAGAAACAATTACTTTAATCACTTTATTCATTAATATCTTACTTTTTATGTTTTCTTTCACAAGTATACCATTTTAAAATGTGGCTGGACTGAGCAATTACATTTTGGTGCCGCGTCCGTCACAAAAATAATTTTATTGTCTTCCGAATTGAGTTAGCATTTGGTAAGCAAATTGATAAAAATATTGGTAAGTAAGTGTGATGAACTGATGACAATCAATACACACGAAACTCTCAATATTTGCAAGTTCTTGTTTTGCCTACATTGTCACCGTCTAACTGTGGCCACAAATCCAACGCGTACAAAGAAATTTGGTGACTCATTTCTTTTTCGCACTATCCGTAAATGCTCTGCCCGCTCACGTGTTCCCTCCCTCTTACAACCTGGGATCCTTTAAAAGAGGCGTGAAGAAGCAACCTGCAGGCCGACAGGGTGAGGATGGCTGGTGTGGCAGGTAGAACTGCTGTATCAGCTATCTTCGCGTCTGGACTTCACTTTCACTTAACATCAGGTGGGATGGAGTCATTTGTCGTACCTATCTATAAAAAAGAAAAAAAAAGATCAAGAGATATTCGTTAACAAAACCCACTTTCACTGTTTTAATTTTTATTTAACAATTAAGAATACAGGCCATTATAGTATGGTGATATTTACCATCAATTTATTAAGATGAACGTAGGTAGTCACGCTATTGTTAGTAACAGAGTCCATAAAACAAACAAAAAGCAGTGTCGTCTTTTATCGAAAATCGAGTCGTCTATAACGAAATGGTAAAAAATTGCACAAATCACAAAATCAAAGAAAGCATCAGTAAACACACAAAAACATTCGCATCGCAAGCGAACTGACAATTGCAATTGCTCCTGAAGATGAAAATAAATCAAGTACATACTACCTGGATGTTGTTTGCAGGTAGAAACAATGGAAGGTCCGATAGACGAAGCTAAACACGTAATGGAATCTTTGGAAACAGCACTAAAGGATGTAGCCGATACAAAACAACCACTACACGATCGACTGGGGCCTGCCTTGGCTGCCCTCTTTCATTCGGCAAATATGGTGGATCTAGGTTAGGAAACTTAATGATGAATTCTAAAACCACAGTGTGGATTTTGGAAACTTAATAATTTTTAAAACCAGTTGGAACTTTTACGTTTCACTATTGTTCTAATCAAATTGTACTGTTTTTAGAAACCAAGGAGACAATGACTTCTCTCGTCAATTCTTTAGTTGATGATGAACATCCAGTAACCATTGAATCTATCGACCGCATTCAAGTAAACGATATAATAAATGACATCAAAGGTTTGTTGTTTTTTTTGGAATTTATAAAAGGTTATCCTACTTTTTATTGTTTTTCAAGTGGAACCACAAGGTACTAATCTCGTGCCCTCAATCGCCCATACATTGTTTTTGGAAAAGTCGATGACACATTTGATTCAAATCAAATTTAATATTTTAATTTGTCTATATTAGTATTGATATATTACTAATATAAATAGTATAAAGAGGAAAGATTTGATTGTTTGTTTGTTTGTATTGAACAGGCTTCGAAACTACTGGACCGATTTGAAAAAATCTTACACTTTTAGAATTCTATATTATCCCTGATAAACAAAGTCTATAGAGTATTTTCAAAAAAGTTAGGGTTCCGTATGAAAAATTCGATAATGTAACCCAGGGTGTGAAAAAAATACCAAAAAATACCTTAAATCTCAAGGCAATGTAGTACTGTTTTATAGAGGGTAAAAAAACAGCTTCCGTTAAATGAATAAGTTGATTTTTTATAATTATTAAGATCATTAGAATCAACGTCAACTTAGATTAAAAACACCTTTCCTACTATTAAATTAAAAGTACTGAATTCAATTAACAAATAGTTTTAATTTGAATTCTTTACCGATAGATTTTTTGTTAAATATAACAGAAAAATAATAAAATCAATTATAGTTTTGATGCAGTTCTGCCTAGTCCTGCAGATGCCTTCTTTTTATTTATTACAGATTGCGGTGTCGATGCACCCGATGAAGAATTGAACCACATGGTCCGATTAACTATAGACTGTCTGCGTGCACAACTTGTAGCTCCAGAGGAAGCGAGACAAATAGAAGATGAGGTTCTACGGGCTATGTCTATCGATATGGTAAAGAATAACAATAAAAAAAATAAAAATATGAAATGTTATCGCTTTATTTGAAACTAGTCATTTCTGTCACCATCAGACTAGAAACAAAGTACTGGCCGAGTTGAATCAATCGATCTCAAGCTCTATCCGCCTTATTAAAAAACAACCTTATTTAAAAGTGATGTTACCACTTTAGTTTGCTAAAAAGAAGACAAAGACAAAGGTTTAAACCATGGCTAACTATAGTCTGCGATTTTGAGTAACGCGATATGTGATTAGCTTATTACAGCTTTTCTATGCCGCCTAAAATAAACATAATGCGCTAAGCCGTATTCCAAATTTATCTTTTTCTTGAGTGACAATCACACCAACTACAAAACGTACATATATGTTTTATAGATTGAACAAGTAAATAAAAAATAAGATTCCAAGAGTTGCCAATTTTAGCGCCACAAGTCCAACCTTAAAAGTTTGTTTCATGAATGGATTGGAATTATTATGCCTTGCTAGATGATGAAGTTGGTAAACAATAAGAACTACTATTTGCAAACAAAACTAAACCCAATCAATTACAAATTGAGCGAAAGTATCTTTTGAAGTGATAATAGTAAATAAAAAGTATTTGTTAAGTATGTATTTATTTCAGACGCCTGTTACTGCAAGCCGTACATCACGTTGTATTCACGGTGATGACCATGCTACGGACATTCACGATAAAGAGGATCATGATGGTGAACATGACCTGATTTACCATGATGTAGATGTCGCTAATGAGGATATTGACAATGAGCGCGACATAAGTGACGATGACTATGATGAACACGGGCAAGATGAACGAATTCAGTAGTAATAACCGTGGAGCCAAATAGATCAGGTTTTAAAAATACATTTATTATCTTAAGTAGATTATAAACTATGGTATATAAAAGTATACCCTATTATATTCACGTGTTTCATTTTAGATCAAACTTCAAATTGTGAAAATACTGATTGATGCTCATTTTTTTATCATATAGTTCTAAATTTCTTTCCTCGGTTGCTTAAAAAATTCAAAAGATTTTCAAAGTAAAATTAGGGCGATTCCATTGTCACGGGTGCAACATTTAGACGCATAAAAAGCTTTTTTCTTACTTGCTTTTCAACACATTTGCTGAAAAGGAACCAAGGAAAATCGAAAAATACCTTTTGATTTAATCAACACTGAACTGTAAGATGCGACGAGGCACGGCAACAGAAAATGTAGGTAGATGAAAGTGAGTTTAAAGTAATCTAATAATTCTTCATCATTATCGGCTTATTAATGCCCTCACTGCAGGAGCACTAATGTGAAGTATCACCACTTGGGCCCTGGAAGTACAGTTTAGCTAGAGGATTCAATCCCGGTCATATTTTAGTCCCGTAATTTTCGGGATTGAATATAATGAGTCACGGGATTTTCGGGATTGATATATTTTTATATAAGTCAATAAAAATGTGCGTGAAACGAAACGTGCTTACTTTCATTTGACGTTTTGACGGCCATCACGTTTACACAGCTGACTTCATTTATTTTTGTCAACGACTGGTACCGGATTATGTGTGAAAGAGTGTAAAAATTCCGCTTCACGTCGTGTAAGTATTGATATGTTTTTTGTTAATTGGTGATAATCAATGAATTTAATTAACTAAATTAAATTTAATTAGTCAACCAATGCATTAATGTGTCTGAGTAAACATAGATGACAAACAACTAGTGTTATTTTCTTTAGCTCTAAGAGTTATGTTTATGTTGTGCAAAGACTTAAATGTTCTTTTCATTTTTGTTTAGAGAAGTAAACAAAGCCATTATCCAAAGAAAGTTTTGATGTCAAGCATAAAAAAGATCAAGATGTTTCGTCAGTGTGGAGTCATTTTTTAGGCGATAAAGCGGGTAGCTCAGCACAATGCAAACGTTGCTTAGCTATTTAACATTCCGTGAAAGTAGATTCTGCTAAGGCATCTTCCTCAACGGGTCAAAATAATGAAGTGTTTATACCACCTATAGTATTTTTTACAGTATATCTAAACAAGTCTTAAAAAGTCGATTTTTTTAAGTTTGTTGTAAAATAAAAAAAATTGTGTGTGTCAGCTCCGACGCACGACTGGAGTTTACTCCTTAAGTTCGATAGTCTAACCAGACGCAAAAAGAGTTTATTTAACTTAAAAAAGATTGATACTGTATGAAAGGGTAAATTAACAAATTAATGAAAATAATATACATATATAAATATATATTTATTCATTTCATATACATTGATTATAACTAATCGACGAAATATTTTACATTAAACTTTTTACAATAGTCAATTTCAGATGTGCATAAATATATCAGTAGGAATGTTGATAAATTATGTAATTATTATTATCAGACTATTATCATTTTTTTAAATCTTAATTAAATCAACATTGTCTGCATTATTAATTACAGTGACAAGTGGTTTATGGTAACTAAAATAAGACACATGGACGTTCGTAGATACGTGGTTCAGGAATCTTGAAAATACCGCATCAATGGTTGTACCATACCTCGTTGTCCCCATTGCTCTATCAGAAACAATATCTCTATTCAGTTCAGATTTTAAAAAAATTATTAATGTCAATCCGTCATCTTTGTTTGTCAAAGTTGCGCGACATAGGATGCGCACCAAAAACGTAACGAGGTCATTCATCGATAGATTTTACTCCTCAAATTTTTCTCATACCGGGCCCCTTATATAGGGTGAAATTGAATGTTTCTATGAAACTTCGTGAGATTGTTGGGTTATGTGTATAGAGTATGCCTGTTTTTTTTCGGATTTTTTTGAAGTATATTTTTTTCATGTATTTATTTATAATTTGTGTATTTTTATGTCCTTTCCTCCTTTTGAGTAGTTATTCATTTTAAACAAACAAACTTACATATCCAGTGAAAAACAACTAATAAATAAGCACTTCTAAAAAACCGAAAAACATTAAAATTCCACCGCGGGTCAACGACCGACCGCGCCCGCCAGCCGTTGAGTGAATAGGTACCTAGCTCTACACAGAGCTCAGCTGACTCGTTTGATTCCACACAATACAATAAAATCGGCTTAGATGCCTTTATTGAAATTGAAATAATAAGCACAAATGTCATCTTCTCTTAAGCAGAGAAAAACTTTAAAAGTTAATAATAATTTTGTCACGATTGGAAATAGGCAAATGTTAAACAAAAAGAAATACTTATTGCAGTTCAATACTTGGGTCAGAATGAAATTTATAACCAGGTATTCAAAAGTACTTACGAGACCGGCGATGTAGGTAGGTACAACGAGGAACGAGGAACATATTCATTTTTTTCACTAGACCTTTTTATCAAATCAATCACACTGGTAGTACACAATTAGTTGTTTCTAATCAAAAAGTATTTACACTAGCAATAAAAAGAGACTTAAATTATTATCTGCAAAATTGTTGCTCTAAACCACAATTTTGCTGCAAACAAAGGTAGGCATGTTTGCGGACGTGTCTTTTCACCTTTTTTAAAGTGTCCCTATCACTACTGACTGCACAAAATGCAACTTCTATGGTTTGGGGACTCATTCGTAAACCAAACCTACTTCGTCACACTCGCGATAGCAGTACACCATCTCTAAATATTCTTGGTTCGTATACCGAGGCATAATGAAATTATCACAGTGTATGTCACTAAGTCAAAAGATGCGCACGCTCACGCACGATTGATATACTTGCGACTGCGTTTTGCATGCAATCAAAGCAAACCACCGCGTGCGAGGAAGAGGGGAGGTGGGCGGAATTCACATCATCAAAGACGCCGCAACCGGCGCTAGTTGCCAGCGTGCGGCGCGCCGCTCGCCCGTGCTTGCCGAAAAACAACATATTATTATGTGTGTGTGTGTGACTGTGGCTATGATTAAACGTTTTGGGAATTTCAAAATCAGACACGAAGAGTTCCTTCCTTCACTAAGCTCGTAAGTTATACCGATTTGCTCTGTATGATTTTTCACAATTTTAAATAAGCCGTTTGTGCTTAAGTTTAATTAAACGAGGCAACTAACATTAACAATAAAAAAGAAGTTCTTACACTAACTAACAGACAGGCTTTACCGATTTAAAACCGTGACAGTCATATTAACTTTATAGGATTTTTAATTGCTCTAACAGAAGATTTATTTTATTGATTAATTACCTGTGCTTTATGAAATAATATTCAAAGGTATTGTGTATCAGTGAATAAATAATTATAATAAAGCATCTAAGACTATTTTATTGTAATGTTTTTAAATAGTGTGGATCAAAGCGGAGAGTAGGTAAGCGCCGAGTCATCTGTGCGTGTAATAGGTACCTACACAGGCGGCCGCCGCGCCGGTCGTCGCCCCGACCGGCGCTGATCTCGACTGGAGGCATAATGAAGGCATTCATTAAGTTTCCGTTTTTTTAGTAGTGCTTATTTTAAGTTGCTTTATAACTTCTATGTAGACATGTTTAAAATGAATAATTACTCATAAGGAAGAAATGACAAAAAAATAACCAAATATAAAATTAAAAATCGAAAAATTTTATTTTAAAAAATCCGAAAAAAATCAGGCATTATCTATACACGTAACCCAACAATCTCACGAAGTTTCATAGAAACATTCAATTTCACCCTGTATATGCAAATCGATTCTTAAGGAGTAAACTCCAATAAACATGCTAGGCAATTCCTTAAAAACTTAACTTAAAACTATTTCATAAATTATTTACAGAAGTGCCTAGTTTGTTTATTTTATCAGAAGAAAGTATAATTTTGTTCTGTTTTTTAAAGATTTAACTAAAGATAAATAATAAAAAGTTGATTTTGATACGATTTGCTGTCTTTTTGTTACCACTTTCTATTACCAATACAATCCCGGGACTATCCCGGGATCGAATCCTCTAAGTTTAGCCCGCCTCGCCCCTCCGCGCCTACGCACTTTTAAATTGCACTCTAGGGGTAGGACAGATAAGACTAAGTGGATTTGAGGTAAACTGAGTCATTTTAAAAAACTTTTTTTACTAAAAACATCATGATAATCGTATTTTCGGTGTACATTGATTTTTTAAAGTAAAAATTGATGCTTCTTTTATATTGCAAACTCAAACTTACGATGAAACATAAATATGGGTAACAAAACTTCGATGTAACATTATTTCGATAAAATGTATAAAACATGGAAAGAAATAGCGATGAACTGTGTTTGTAGATAATAAATTAATATTCGAGTAAACGAAAATGCGATGTAACCTAATTCTAGGGTTTGTAAAATATTGAAAAAAAAAGTTCTGCGATTCGTTTTATGTGTAATGAAAATCGTTGAAAGGAATTGCGATAAAATGATGGATTCCCCGGTTTCGGTCTGCAATCATGGAAGTTAAGTCATTGAGCTACCACGCACGATCCTCTTGTACAAATTCCTTTTTATAATCAAGAGACAAGATTTTTAATTAATCAAGAGACAAGATTTTTAATGTAGGTACATATTTTCAATTAAATTAAAATGTATTGTGAAAATAGTCATGTAATTGAAATACATAATGGAAATAAGTATTTTACATTTCGAAATGTATTTGAAGTATTTTTTTTATCTGTATAATACATGATCACGAGTTGGTGTCAAATTGAAAACTATTTCATTTTTATATCGATGACCCAAACCACAATATGATTTTTTGTCGCTTTGCATTAACAGCGACACACACAGAAAAATACTGAACAAAATCTACGCTTTTTTGTGAAATTCTCCGTCCATTTCATACTATGTATATCTATGACCTGGGTAGTCAGTTAGGAAAGCAGAGCAAACAAAGAGGATGTGTTGTATAGAGATTTGCTTTTTAAAATCACATACGACGACACGACATACAATATAATAGACATAACAACAATCATCATAAATGGTATTAGTGTTTGTAAAGGGCGTTGAAAATCATCTTTGGCCGGAGCGGCCAAATTTCTGGATCGGGCCCTGATCAGAGACGACATAGCGCGAGAGACCGTGACTTATAAAAATCGGCTGGCAATACATCCGAATACAGCATCATTCCCTTCTCAGAGGTTGATCGCATCAGATGAAGCCTGTAAGGCCCCTAAGGCCATAGGCATCCCCCACGGGTGTGTTTTAGTCAGTAAGAGTCGGACATAACCCTACAGCCGGCTGTAGGGTATCCATGAGGATTTCACACCCGCTCCCCCGCCTACGCCTGGGAGGAAACAAAAAAAAACATTCGAATGAGCTAGCTTCAAAGCTGATTAACACCAGCTATCATAAACGACATGACATCCAGAGTCTCGATCCAAGATTTCAATAGAGAGGGAGAGGTGCCTTCCTTCCAATAGGAAGGATCTTCACATGACATGGAACAACATACTCGGTTAAAGTTGCTGATTGACTGATTGCGCATTTAAAAACAAAACAAAATAAATCCCATTTTAACACCCATTGAAATGTTTGTTTTTTTGTGTGTAAAGTAGTATTGTATAGTATGTGTAAGTATTATTATTTTTTGTAAGAACTTAGTTTCTAGATAGCTAAACTCCGTCGATTCGACGGGTAGTGCAAAAAAATATAGATATTTTTTAACGCCGCGTCCAAAGGTGTTGTCTCAGCTAGTCAATTCAGTCGCCGGGGAGCCTATTGTAGCACGCAGTAAACAAATAAGTTTTTGAGGTATTTGACTTTAGCCCGTCGTTTCGACGAGTAGTAGTAGACGTAGCTTTACCGTCAGTCTCACACACAGAGAAAAACCAATATCGCGCAGAGATATTATAAAAAACTACATTTCCAACGTGTAGAGCCTGAATGTTAAAATCACGATGCCAAATTGCTAACCCAAGTGAAAGAGAACACCAGGAACGTTCTTTCAAAGCAACCATCCACCAGTCAAGATCACCAGAAAACGGAAAAGAGCCATCAATATCATTATCATCATCATCATCATATTAACGTCTCAACTGCTGGGGCACAGGCCGTCCCTATGGATGGAATAGGGAGATTGGGCTATGACTCACCACGCGGACCCAGTGCGGATGGGGGGGGGGGGGGGTTGCAACGACTGCAGATCCAGCTGGGTACAACGGCTTAGTGTGCCTTCCAAAGCACGGAGGAGCTCGAGGCAGTACCTAAATTTTTGGTCTCCAATCTAATGACCGACCAATTCAAAAGTTGCTTAATTTCAATTATCGCAGCCGAACGCGGTAACTACTTATTAGCAAAAAAGGGTTTGGTAAAGTGACGTTACCTTAAATCCAATATGGCGGACTTAAAATCATGGCAGAGTAAGGTCGTATACAGAAAGTAGAAAGAAAGGTGGAAGCCGAGTAATGGTAGGGGAGAGTGGGGTAATTACGAACATCGGGTAAATGCGGACACTGTTGTATTGGCTTTGGCCACTTTCATAACGGAGTCGAGTTAGCCATCTTTAGTGCCTGGATTGATGTCAACACGGGAGGCCGCGCGCTTCTCAAGGTAAGATTAATTCTTTATTTTGAAGTGGTTTCTTGTAATTTTTGTTCGTTTATAGTTGCGTGTTGTAACGTGAAAAACCGGGTAAGTGGGGTAAATAAAAATAAGGCTCCGATTATAACTCCATTTATTGGTAATCTCCGTACTTTAAATGAATAGGTTAAGGTAAATTACGTTAAGGTTAGTTATATTTAAGTTAAGTTTAAAACAATATTTATGAAACGGAGTGGTATTTAAGTTAAGTTTAAAACAATATTTGTGAAACGGAGTGAAATTAGCCGCTGGCTGGAGCCGCACGGTCACGCATATAAACGGTCGTTACAATTAAAATAGGTAGGTAAAAAAAACAGGTCGTGGCGCATTTGGTCGATAACGCTTGGTATGTTAAAAGTTAAAGTTAATTTAGGTAAAAAAGAATTGGTTATCTTTAGGTCCAGAGTAGACAGCACGAAGGGTAGTCTGCGCACAGAGTGCAGTCCAAACTCGTCGGGGTAAGTAGATGAGTTGGGGTAAGCAGGGGCTTCGTCAGCTGCTTAGGACTGGAGAGTCCTTCTGGGGTAACTACTGGTTATATGAGACGTTGCCTGGGTAGCAGGACGTCAGGGTAACATGGCGGTATACTATGGTATAACATAGCAACATCACAATGTTATGATATTCATTTAACTTAAAAACTGTATAAGATATGTATTAATACTGTTAATCACATCTGAAAATGTGGAATAATAAACTATCACTATTATTACCTAACCTAAAATTATTTGCCGCAAAATATTGACATCCAGTTGGGTTAATTACGGACTGTTGTCTTGGGGATAATACGGACGTCTAGTGTCGTACCAGAAATGGGCACATGACAATTGCACAGGTGGGAGTACAAGCCGAGGCTACATTTGCGATTTCTGTAGCGACAAATAATGATAGTTCATTATTTTTTATATTATTGTTGCGTTTCAAACTTGTTTAATGTCGCAACTGCAATAACAGTGCCTTCGCAATTACCCCACATGCTGTTCGTATTTTACCGGTAGGCTTCGGGTAAATACGGACAGCAAGGGTTTTGTTTTTTGATAAAAGAATATTTATATTTATATCTGTTAATTTCATAAGGTAAAGACCAAAGTTTAATAATTAATAAAGAAAGACTGATTTGAGATTATACTTTATCTTTTATTTAAGGATTCCCTTAGGTGTCCGCAATATCCCCACTCTCCCCTAACAGTTAAATAAAGGAAACAGTTTGAAGCATAGTTGTTCATTAATTTCAAAGGTCGATGCCAGCGCTGACCAGCGCGGGTTGGCAATTGTAGGTGCTTATCGGCGCTGGTCTATAGAAATGTATGCGCCGGTTACCGGTAAGGACCAGCGCTGAGAAGCGCTGGTGGACTTCCAGCTTTCTTTCTGTATACGTCCTAAGTTTCTATGCTTTCCTACAATATGGTATCAAATGAAAGGACTTAATGAGAATAACTCGAAAAATAAAGTGCCGTCATCCAATATCACGGACTATAAAAGATGGCGATCTAAGTTTTTATGCTTTCCTAGAATATCGGTATCAAACGAAAATACTATCTGAGAATATGGGATTATTGAAACGGCTTTGAATTGAGCGCATTGACTCTAATTGGTTAGTTCACTTTATGCCGAAAACCCTTCTTCTTCTTGTAGTGCCCTGTCCTCATCGGACGTCGGCGACCATTCCTCTGAACTTGTCCCTATCCTGAGCCATCCTGCTCAGGCTGGCAGCGTCCTCAATATTTGTCCAGTTCTTTATATTGTCCAACCAGGTTAACTTTCTCCGTCCTCTACTTCTTTGTCCCTCTATCTTCCCCTCTAGTATTCTGCGCAAAATTTGATATTTATTATTTCGATAAATGTGTCCAAAATATGAGATCTTTCTTTTCTTAATTGTTTCCAAAAGTTCCAATTTTTTCTTCATTCTATGCAAAACTTCTATATTACTTACACGGTCTCTCCACGATATTTTGAGCATTCTTCTGTAGAGCCACATCTCAAAAGCGTTTATTTTTGCCTCTATGGTTTTGTTCATAGTCCAGCTTTCGACGCCGTACATGAATATAGACAACACATAGCATTTTACCATTCTCCATCTGAGTTTCAGGTTGATGTCTTTGTTGGTAAATAACTTGTTCATTTTCATGAATGTACTTCTTGCTATCTCTATTCGTGCACGAATCTCCCTCTGGGAATCCCATTTTTCATTAAGAGTGCTTCCTAGGTATTTGTAATGTTTGACCCTATCAATTTGGTTTCCGTTAAGAGACAACGTAGTCGAATCCACTGAATTCTTACTCATTATCATGTACTTGGTCTTGGATATGTTCATTTTTAGACCATACTTTTCCACTACAGTATTTAAGCGGTTCATGAGTTGTTGGAAATCTTTTAAAGAATGAGCTAAGATAACAGTATCATCGGCATATCGGAGATTATTTATTACTGTACCGTTGACCCTGATGCCAATTTCACATTCGTCGAAAGCTTCCTGAAATATAGTTTCAGAGTAAATATTGAACAGCAATGGTGACAGATACATCCTTGTCTCACTCCTTTACGAATCCTTATCTCATCTGTACTTGATGTTCCTACTTTGATGTGTGCCGACTGGTTCCAGGATAGGTTTCTAATTATTCTTTGATCTTTGCTATCGACTTCAGTATTGTTCAATATTTCCATTAATTTGCCATGCTTGACGTTATCAAATGCTTTTTCAAAATCAATGAAGCATGCATATACGTCATTGTTGAATTCTAAACTGTTCTGTACTAGAGTTTGCAATGCAACTAGTGCTACACGTGTTCCTAATCCATTTCTGAACCCAAATTGGTTTTCTGTAATGATTTTATCAATTTTGTTATAAATTCTCATATGTATAACTTTAAGAAATACTTTTAGGGCGTGAATCATCAGGCTTATCAGTCGTGGCCGAAAACCCAAAAATGGAAATTTTGAGTTATTTCTTTTTTGAATAAAGGTGCGCTATATATATATATATATATATATATATATATATATATGAAGTTACTAAAATATAACGTAAGTGCTCAACGCATTCGTATTATTGACCAATACATCATATTTTAATGGTTTAAATATTAAATTATTATTAAAAGCCTCATTTTAACAACTATTTTTGATACTAACATTCATCATCATCATCATCAGCCTATTAATTTCTCCACTGCTAGGGCACAGGCCTTCCCTATGGATGGAATAGGGAGATTGGGCTATGGCCCACCACGCGGGCCCAGTGCGGATTGGCGGGTGCTAACGACTGCAGATGCAACCGGGACCAACGGCTTAACGTGCCTTCCGAAGCACGGAGGAACTCGAGATAGAAGATTTTTGGTCACCCATCCAATGACCGACCACTGCGAAAGTATCTATCTACTATCGCAGCCGAACGCGCTAACCACCTGCGCCATCGAGGTCCTCACTACTCTAACATTATCATAAAAATATTTTTCCCAAAAAAGCGCAAAACTGATTATTTTATAAAAATGTCATAAATATTGTTTAAACAATAAAAAAAAATTTCCCCCCTCCCAAAGGTTTCTGATTTTGAATAATAAAAAAAAACCAAATTTATAAAAAAAATGATCAAAATCGAAGCTGTTCCACCGAGTTTCTAAGTTTTGCCTGTTTTATGTCTTTATTGACTCGACTCTAAGAAACCTTTTAAGAGCAGACGCGAGCGAAAAAACTATTGCTGTCACGCATTGGCAAATACCGTGCGATAGGCACAACAGTAAAAAATACAGTAAAGTTGAAATTGCGTATAAAAATTTGATTTTTGGCTCTCGACGATTTCCTCTTCGAAAATTAAACATTGTCAAAGAAATGTTACCCATCGTAGTTATTCTATGCCTCTTAGTTTTGCTTTTTGTAAATGCTTATTAAATGTCCACACTAGACTTCTGTAGTGGTGATAGAAACTTGTTTATATTTGGCATTTATGAGAGCTAGTTTCTTTGAAACACAAGTTATTGAAAAAAGGAAGGAGCATAAAATGAGTAAAATTATATTTTTTAGTGATAAAAATTTAGGAGGAATCAACCAAGAACGTTTTTATGGAAAAAACATGGCTCTTAATGATAAAAAAATAGAGGCCAACTCTCAGCGGCTCACCCCTCTTTCTGGCTCGATTTCAGCCACGGATGCGTTCAACCGTTCAACAGATTTATAAAATCGGTGGATGCATTCTATATACTTTGTTTGGGCTATAAGTCATCTTTGTGTATTTTTCAATAATAATCTTACTTTTCGATCGTAGGATTTGGACTAACAGGGGCAGTTAACAGGCAGGTTGTTTGGTCCTAAAGACCATTTTCAATTTCTAGACGTATGAAATAAAAAACTTTCCTTTGGTAAAATACTTTAATTGGAATGTCACTATATTTAATTTACATACAAAACATGTAAGGGAAATTGCCAAATTTTTTGAAGTTCTATTATTTCAAATCCAAATATATGGCGGTGGCGGTTATTTTTAAGTATAATAAAAGTATAACTTTGGTTACTTAAAATAAAATAATAACTATACGAAACGGCTACATCAGACTACTGTATCACGTAATAATTGTTCTTATTAAATTAAAAAATCCATATGAAATTTAATAAATGTAGATTTGGCTGCTAGCTATCTCTAGAAATGAGCCGAAAAATAAATTAATTTGAGTTTATATTTAGAAGGCATAATGTCATTTCTCTGAAACAGAAATACACTGTAAGAAAGGATCCTTTATGATTTTTAAATTATAATTATTAAACGACAGTGTCTGACTTAACCATAAGAGATCTGCCTCCATCATGTTTTATATTATCTTGGTGTAGTCATGATGTCGGGATTAAAATCTCTCAGTAGACGATGGTAAATCTCTTTATTATAGTTTTAATTATTCTAAAGTTAATGGTGGGAAATTTTAAGAATGTATTTTTATTGACATTATTATCATAATAGAAAATAAGTATTTAATTCTTACAGCATCAAACATTACCTTAATTTTTAAAAAATATGACACTATACAGAAACACAATCTCAAAGTAATATTGGTTAAAACAACGGGTATTCATTGCTAATAATTAATTTGCAGTCCTAATTTTTTGTGTAATCCTTGAATAACAAACATGAATTAAACAAGCAGCATGGGGTGAAATTATCCTACAGAAATAATAATTAAATCTCAAATATCGAGCAAGTTCGGATAGAGCAGAGGTTATGGAGGCAGATTAAAATCTCATATCGGCCCCATACATAAAGATTAAGATGTGGCCTTAGATTAAAACAAACAGGGAAGATACGGTACGCTCATACTAGCATCAAATAAAATATGATCCGACTCAACTCTTACGCAACTCTCACACGCACACGTCTGTATATAATCATTCAATGAGCGAGACAGAACTGTACGCTTCAACGCAGCGCGAGTGAAACGGCGAGTCCGCTTCCAAGTCCGTGCGGCTGAGCTGTAACAATACATAGGGTAACAACCCTTTTCTTCGTAAATGGCGATTACATTTATAACACATATGCTCGAAAAGCGTCTCTTATTGCACCAATTTCAATATCAACGTAACGTAACGTGATAGATTATGATCTATCACGTTACACACGCGTGCGCTAATGTAAAGTAAAACGCACGGCTTATTATGTTCCGTCTAAAAACGAACGATACTTTTTTAAATCATAGCAAAGAGTTTTTATGTCAGAGAGGTAACCAACATTTTCTTAATAAAATTATCTTTGGGAGATAAAATATAATATATAAACATTTAATTATTTGATTTGATTCATTTTGACAGTAAATTACAAACGTAATATATATCGGTAACAAATTCACAAAAATATGTTACTTTATTAGTAACACTGGCTGTTTTTTGTTCCTTTGCCTAAAAAAAGCGTTGCGATGCGCGCGCATCGCTGATCTGTGAATAAGTTTTTTTTTTCGCTGTATTGTTTTTATTTGAACATATTGTCAAGTTGTAACGTATTCATTAATTTGACACAGCCAGAAGTCAAAAAAGGCTACGCTAAGCCTCTTGCCCGAAAAATCCATGGATAGATACTTACAGTCAAGCGTGTCCAAATTTCATCTTATGAAAAACAAACAAAGGTGCAAATTCATTTTCAGAAAGTACGTACGTAGTTAGTATTATTTCCTCGCAAATGTGTTATAAAACGTCGTATGACATACGTGCGGTTTGATAATTACAGCCTTATCATAATAACTACAATAATAACTAAAATAACAATATCGCCTCGGCTGTAATTCTCAACTTACCGCACTTATATCATAATGTAGTATCACGACAAACCGTGATTTTTGAGAAAAGAATGTTTTTACAGTTTTTCGAATGAAAAGTGTTGCCGAGGCATTTTTAATTTGATTTTGAACTATTTGTGTTCTTTATAAAAGCATCGAAGGCATTGTTTTATGTTTATAACACAGAATATACGCAATATTGTTATTTTGAGTGCACATGCAGCATGTTTGAATGTCCAATTGTGACTATAAAGCGAATAGGAATGATGACTATTTTTTTTCTTCGTTTATCAGGTAGATTACTAAAAAGTATTGGACACGTATTTTTCTTTTTTCACATAATATAAACATTGCAGAGATATATTGATTTGAAAAGTCGCATGACGTCACGTTTGAGTACACTTATAAGTGAAAATTCACTCAAAAGTGACGTCACGAGCCCCTACTCCCAAACTTTGACGCGCTATAACTTTGTCATTTTTTGGTTGTTTGCCCAAAGAAAAAATACGTGTCCATTATTTTATGATCATCTAACTGACGGACTAAATAGAATTTCGTTTACTGTACCCCGTCATCACCCCTAAGCGGATGAATTTTGAGCCGCGTGTGCCGTATCTTCCCTTTTTGTTTTAATCTAAGGATGTGGCAGAGAAAAGATACGGTTACTAAATAGCAATTTTAGTTAAACTGTCATTCTATTCTTAGATTAAATCATAAAGGGAAACGCGCTCTTACTAGCGTTAATTAAAAATGCTCGAAGCATTTCGTAATCAACTACGTAAGCAACACGTATAAATAAAATAAACATTAAATCGAGCAAGCGAGACAGACCGGTACGCTTCAATGCAACGCGAGTCCGCGTCGCTTGACAACAGAGTGCAGATATGCTCTTTCTCTCTCTACGAACGGCTGAGTCATGGCTATCTTGTATTGTTGTTCATTTTTAGATAACAAACTGGCAAATATAAGTGAATAATGGCGGCACTTCACTTGGTTATTTTTGTTTGCTAGGTATTTGTATAGTTGACAACAATGTACTCATATCATGCTTTATTACGAATATAAAGAAACTGATGTCAAGTTTACAAAAAGCTAACGCGAATAGCCAAGCGAAGTGCCGGCATATCATTCATTACACAGATTTTTGAAAAAAATATATATATTATTTATTACAATAATATCCGCAATGTTGTTTTATGGGTGCACATGCGGATTTTTTACTTGTCAAATTGTGACTAAATCGTATTGTGTACATTACATGCACCTAATTTAAGCGGTACACTTTTGAGACGTGAGTGCCGTATCTCCCCTTTTGATTTTATCTGAGGTTTAGATTAATGACTGTTAACTGCATCTGCACAACAACGATATCTTAAACACTAAATTCTTTTTCGTACGGAGAGGCGACATCCATTTTTCCTATTAATTACCCAACTTGGCATTAGTAATAGGGTATTTGACAGTATTAAAAATAAAGTGCCAATTGTTAGCATCTGTATTTAGAATGAATATTGGCAGGAATTTTTACTATTTTTACGGAAAAAATATTCATAATTTTACTAAAAACCCACGATAAAGATAATAGCTTTCTTGTCTATTGTCATGTGACCCAAAACGCTTTGGATTGGTGGAGCCTAAAATGACGTCACACACCAGTGAGCCGCCATATTGTCCAGAGACGTTTTCCGCGGCAACTTGAAAATAGAGTTTTTGAATTAGTGTTTTTTACCGAAATACACAATATAATGATGAATATCGATTTTTATGGCCTCTATAAACATTAGTGAATAACGTGAGATCGTTTTCTAAAACTTGTCAAATACCCTATTGTATGATTACCAGAAATAATTTGATGTTTTTATACAAATGTCAAATTAGCAGATCCATTGCCTTTAACCTCTAACCCCTTTATTTAAAATTATTCTAGTTATGCAATGTTTTGACATTTAAACAGATATGAAGCGTTATTTCATGAAAAGGATCCGAAACTTCAAGAATAATGTAAAAAAAAAACCAACTGCGCTTCGAACCCTTTTTAAAATTGTTTTATTATTTTTCGTTATTAATAAGAGTGTAAATTTTTGTTACTTTAATGAGTAGGTAACATTTGAAGATTGAGGCTTGTTGACATTTTTATTTAATTCAGATTTTCTGTAATGAATGATATCTTAACATAATGCATAATTTAATTGCACGAAAGGCACACTCTCAACTCTTTGTCATTAATCTACGAGTTAACTACTGGACGTTTACATTTACAAACCTTAATTGACATACAAACCACAAGTTCTGCTTCTGTTCTGGGTGCCAATCGCCTAAAGGGATTGCTAAGGCTATCGCTATCGCTTACGATTTCATTTTGTTATTTCTGGCCGCTTAAGGTGCTCAAATACCTCTATTTAATATTGTTATTACCAATGCGAAAGAAAAAAAAGGGCGCGAGGTATTTGAAAACCTTTGGCGGTCAGAAATAAAAATATGAAATCGTAAGCGATAGCGATAGTCATAGCAAGCACTTTAGGCGATTGATCCCCTGGTGTATTTGATCACAGAGTAAATATCAAAGGGGAAACGAAATATACTTAGGTATATCATGACTAAATACAAGTCGTGAGTTGCATATGGTAATAAAAACAATTAGTTTACATGATTATTACATAATGTATTTTTAGTTCAATTATGTCATTTAAATGAAAATATGCCGAAAATGGTATCGTAAGTGAGTGCAGTTCATACTGGTCAAGTGTCGACAATATTATAAATAAGACCACGCCTACAACCTTGACAAGTGCAAAAATCACAATTGACATTTGCTAATGTGTTCTCCTCTTTGTATTTATTCCGTGGTATCATGCAACAAAAAGTACATTCATCAAAATATTCATGTTAAGCAGTTCATTCTTAAAGCTTTAGTAACAAAATATTATGAAAGCATAAATAAACGTAATGTAAAAATAACCATGTTCGTTTACCTTAACTATAATTGACATAAATCGGCAACAAGAGTGCAGATGCAGAGTATTGTGTTTACGTGTGATTTTTATCATAGTGTCCCTTACATACCTACACTAAAGTTATATCTAACCATCCTAAACTAATAAAGCTTTCATTTTACGATGATTAACTAATACGAGTCTCGTGTCTGTTGAAAACTATCTATTATAAGAGTACGTAACTTTAACAGCCATTAGGCTCTTTAAGTACATGAAAAAGAAACATTATGATGTCAGAGAAATGCTAGTAAAAATGGAGTGAAATACGAATACAATTTGTGCTAGTATCTGTGTTAACTTACTGAATTAATATTTGGCAGGTTTCAAATTCTGAATACGACTAAATATATATTCTAATGAAGAGAATACTGCTTCTTTTTTATTAATAGCCCTCGAATGCACTCTACCAAATTTGAACCATGTTTTATTTGCTGTAAAAAATATTGCGAGCACGTTTTATACAACCCGGCAAACTTCTTGAGGGACGACCATAGATAAGGAAGCCAGCGCAGTAGCAATTTTAGAGAAGTTTGTCGCTACCTATAGCTAGAGATAAAACACGTCATGTACCCACATGCGTGTACAAAAATCGGAACGAGGGCTATTGATAAAAGCGAATCATTGCATAAGATTTCATTCTCAACCTTATATACACACAGTCAAATATAATGTCATTTTTTTAAATTGTAATAAATAGAACAAATAATACAAAGTTAATTTATTCAACAGACGACACATTTGACTGTGTTAAATAATATTACCCTAATAATAATTGGTGTTCACCTTACATGTCATATTTTTTTAATGAATAGATCGTTAACAACTATACATATAAAAGAATAATTTAACATGGTTTTTCATTCACTACGTAAATTATAATACGTATTAAATACGACCATAATAAATTTACTATAATAAGTAAAAAATAACCTATTACAATATTATTTTGCTTACAGTATATGCAAAAAGTCATATGGGATCATTTATTTATAGTATCTTAGAAATATTGGATTCATAAATTGGTAAATATAGTTGTAATTAAAGTTGATTATTTGTACATACTATAACAATATAAATTATATTGATAGACATTATAAAATACAAATTCTTTAAAGGAGACAGTTTAAAAGTGGTAGTCGGTTTCCAACAGCGATGAAACATATATAATTTGAAAGCTTGTTTTATGTAATAACATGATCAGATTATATTTTTAAATATATTTGATGCTTTGGCAACAAAAAATAGGTTAATAAACTTGCTATTTGCCAATTAATAATGACGTAAAGTAATTAAAAATTATAATAATTATTTGAAATAAAAAACGGGGATTACATAAGTTCTAGTTTATTGTCAAACGATCAACCGTGAACTGCATGGTATAAAAACTTGGGGAGTCTGCCGGAGACTCACTACCACCCTACATACAAATTTGAATTGTCTAATTTGCCAACTGCTAATTGGCATTTTTTTAAAGACTGAGTCAAATGCCAAAAATAAACCCTGAATAATTACTTTCACTCCAGTATTAATATTATGAAGTTTTGATAATCATTATTTAATTAATAATGATACTTAACAATTTCGTCTCCAGTTTCAACTGCCTAATAGTTGAAATAAGCCAATAAATGAAATTCAGTTGACAATCAAATTTCAACAATCTTAATCATCAATTCTATATTGCGAGAATTGAATGAAAAAAGGTAACATATAAATATTATTATAACCGTAAACATGTAAACATTTGCCAACAACAAAATAATTTATTTGTTTAAACAGTACATGTTGGTTATCATACCAACACCTTAGAGCATGTACAATTACATTTTAATTTGTAGATGCTCCAATGCTTATCTCATACCTGCTTGAACAAGTTTTGGTACTAAAATGTGCTAAACTTAGCATGCGCATTTTGAATAAGTACGCATCTTTAGCTGCCCATACAAATTTATCCCACAGCCCACAACTTCTTTTAGTGTGTCAAATTATCGTCTAGCGTCTATAGACATGCATCCCGATAATTCATTACGACAGAACTTATTAAAATTTCAAACGCTCATTTTAGCGTATTTAGTACCAAAGCCGCCCGAAGTTTCGTAGCGCAGGTGTGGGAGAAGCATAAAACATAACACAGATAAACGAGCCCAAAATAAAGGCTGCACAAAGCGCAGAAAAGGCACGAATTCATAAGATACAGCACATAAGTTAGAACATTATCTACCGCCTAGCAATATTCTTACTACTAAATACACTAACGCTTTCACCATTGCTCTATTGTAAGCTTAATATTTCTTTATTTAATCTATACGCCTATAAGAAGTCTAGCTTTGGAATAATTTTAAAGGAGAATATTTAGCTTACAAATAATTATTTATTATTTAAATGCTATCCAGAAATTCAATGTTTTGTTTTTAACTCCTCTTGTTCTAATAACAAAACAATGTTCGGAATATTCAAATGTTTACCGTATATACTGTGCCTTCAAATTCAACACGTTTTAACTAAAAGTGAATGATATTTTTTCATTTGAGAATGATCCTAAAAGAATCTTGTAAATAAAAGTATGTTTATAGTTCAATCTATTCATTGTTATATCATTACTGCATTTCCAGAAAAGATCCAATTGGCACCTTTCGTGTTTCAGAAATGCGAGCTACATACTTTCTCAATCAAAGTAGAAAAAACAATTAGGTTGATGGCTTTCTAATGATAATATGGACTGATTAAAAACTGCCTAGTCCTAAATACGATGAACATAAAGATATTACAAGCATTTGATAATCTGTGTAGATGATGCTATAAATAAAAACTACATCATCAGGAAAGTCTATTTCAAAATAAGCGAGTCTGTTTTGGCTAAATATCAAATGTTGCCATAAATATTAACCGCATATAGTAATTAAATAATACCACGTAACATTAAAGCGATAAAATTAACCCAAAAAAGACCAAAGAGTATATTCCAGAAAACAATGTATTATAATCAATGTTTTCAAGTCAATTAATGAGAATAAAGAATAGTTTTTGCAACGAGGAATGCAATATGCATTGATTTTTAAATATAAAGATTTATATACAAATTTTGATTCGAAATCGCACGTATTGTCAATAAAATACTCCAATAATCGTTGTTTACTTTAATTAGCTTATTGTACGTACCAAAGAAAAATAAGTGTACGCAATAGGGTTTTTGACAGTGTGAAAAATAAATATCAATTGTTTGTATCTGTATTTGACATGAATATTGGCAGCGAATATTCGAACAGAAAAATGATAATTGATCATGAATGAAATCGTGAACTGGAAAAAGTTTATCCTTTCAGCCGTCTGCAATGTCCGAATGTCTAACTGATTTGACAGTTTAACGTCCAAGTGACAGCGCGATCTATTCTCCTTCTCTTCTACGCCATTCTTCCGTTAAAACGTTCGTTATACAAAAAAACTATACAAGCTAGATCAAAACAAAAAATACTTTTGTGTAGTCCAATTAATACATCACATACTTATTTATAAGTTTAAGCTTTAAACCCAGATCTAAAAAAAAATCTTCGATATTTTCATAGCAGATTTTTTAATTGTTACGCACATAAAACTATGATCTTTTCACACCACTAACACGGTAAATCATGAAGAACGTGTGGATTTATCATACTTTAAGATTAAATAATGAGAAAATAGCATTTTCGACAAAATTGCGATAAATTCGGTTGAACGTCCACCACGTCACAACTTTTCGCGGAGCTCATACTTCAAACTGATGTTAAAAAAATCTTAAGTGCAGAGAGCACTGCTTTTTTATTCACAACTCCATCTACATATTTTGCCTAAACTAAAGAGACCACAAGCAGTAATAATAATGCTAAGGACCGCCCACAGAGGACACTCAAGTGTCTTCGGACGTTTGACTGGGAAAACTTTTATGAGACTCAAGTGGCATCGGACGTATACGGACGTTTGAGAGCTACTAAACTAATGTGATAGAAAACGCCTAGGTTCGGCGGATCCTAAATGACGTCACACGGTTGTAAACTTGCTATCAAAGTGACACTATGCCGTTTAATCTTTTAATGACAGCAGTGTGACGGAGCATTTCTGTAAGACACCATATTATATCCAAGCTAAACGTTTCCAGTTCCACGGCATATTAGAAAACAGAATCTTTATTTTAGAATTTTTTTAACTGAAATAAACAATAGAATGCTGAATCAAATTTTTCTGGAGTCTAGAAACTAAAAATCTACTGCGTTTTATTTTATCACATTACAAGTTGCTTATTTCGTGAAAACATGCGATGGTGTCAATAAATTAATATAGGTCTGTAAAGAACTGCCTATCAAAAACTGATAGGTTAAAGAAAAATTATAGTAGAATATTTACTAGTGCCATATATAGTGTCATGTGATCATCTTAAAGTAGTTTATGTAGTAAAGATTCACATAGGTAATGAGTAGAGATCCGATAATCGGATACACATTTACCTAAAGTTGAGATGTTGGCTATCATGGAAAGCACTTTTTTATCCAAAATAATCCCGCGATTCCGGGAAATTCAAATTTAAATGTATACTCCGTGGGATCTAATAAACCTAGATTGACAGAAATGACAGTTTCCCCATATGTATAACATACAAATATTGTGTAAGATGTCCTTAATGAATAAATAAATGTATATTCATTTATGCCTCCTTTTTAACCACACCACCATTTCTTACATCATACATACACACATGCTTGAATGGGAAATTAAAATTTAACTTTAAATAAATAAACATCTGATTAGCTTTGCGATCCCGGAAGCTCGGGATTTTATTTTCAATAAAAATGTCCTAAGAAGCCGTTTTTATAATTTGTTAGTCAAAAAACAACATTAGGTAATACATCCGACTATCCGATCTCTAGTTCTGAGAGAAGTTGAATTATTGTCTGTCGACTGTCCGCTTGAGCCATTGTGTAAACTGCCTTAGTTGCCAAACAGCTCGCGCCGACTCTTCTCTGAGGCGGGCGTTATGGCGTCGTAAACGACGAACCTGACAGAATAATTAATTTATCAAAACAGTCTCGATAAAAGTGAATGGAGACAATACGCTGGATTATTAAAAAAATGTTTCTCTTTTTATTTATTTAATAGGTACACAAACAGAGAGAAACAGTTATCACATGGTTAAAAAACATAAATTTGGTAAAAATCTAAACTGCCATCCAAAACAGTGTACACAGCATAAATAAAATCATGGCAAATTAAAAGCAAAATAAAACTTTTTAACCAGGCTAAATCGTTTAACACTGTTAATAAAACGAGGTAATAAAAATAAAATAAAAAATGGAAATTAAGGATCTTGAGTACCAGGGCCGAACAAACTAGAGATGCTTCTTTAGAACGCTGAGAAACGGGAGTTGAACACATCAATGCCTTTGTTGTTCCTTGAAAATTCGTTATAAGTTCTACACATTCTGACCATAGGATTATAATAAGAGGTGTTATTTTTAAAAACTTGAATTGCGAATGTATTTGGAAGGCGGGATCTATACAGCGCATTAATAGAGTGACGAGAGCAACGCTGGCGCATCGATGTATGAGTGCAGAATCTTATGAAGGCAAATTAAATCGTATCTTTTACGCCTGGCTTGTAGGGAGGCAACACGAAATTTTGACAATCGGTCTTTATAATTATTAAGGGAACGCAAATGTGTCATAATCCCTAGGATTATCATACTTTTTGTAGCATTTGTGGTATTTAGCCTTCTCCCTAATGCAGCGTTTTAAACCATGACTGTACCAAAGCGGATATTTGTTGGACGTATTTTTAATTAGAGGCGTATTCCTACCTATGATTTCATAAATTTTATTGTAAAACACATCAACGCAGTCATCGATAACAGAAGAAGAAAATATTTCATTCCAATCCAAATCTAGCAACTCTCTCTCTCCTTACATTTTCATACTTGCACTTATTAAAGTTATAACGTTTCTTAAGCTTAGATTTCAATGGTTTCAAGGAATTCATATCAGGTATCTCAATACAATAAGCTAAATGATGAAAGTCCACTCTACACAAAGGATCAACTTCAGAAACCTCCATAACGGGAAGGCTAGACAGAACGAGATCTAGAAACCGGCCATTTTTATTAGGGATAGTATTAAATTGAGCGACATCACATGTACTTACAGTTTCTGAGAGCATACACGCTTTGGCATCGCGCGGATTCGTGGGTATGAGACCTCGAGAATTGCTTTCTGCCGTCCAGGATATGTTACCTGTATTAAAATCTCCCAACAGCAAGAATTCGTCACTGCATGTAGAATTAAGATTAATCTTTGACAGTTTTGGTGGAAATCAGTATACACTTCGAGTGATACATCCGGAGGCAAGTAGCAAAGGCAAATATTCAGCAACTGCTCATTACGGTTATGCGGTTGAATAGTGAGCCAGATATCTTCAACTCCAGTTTCCCAAAATGTCCGACGAATAAAATTAATGTGCTTCTTAACTGCGATTAAAATACCACCTCCATCTCTTTTTAAAGAACAAGAACTACTTCGATCCCTTCTAAAAACAGTATAACGATCATCAATTGCTTCCCCGTCAAAGACACTTTCATCAAAATTGGTCTCTGTGAAGCAAACAACATCGTAATCATTAAGTAACAAATTCAAATAAATATCATTAGTTTTGGATCTAGTTCTACCTAAATTTTGATAAAATATGTTATACATTATAAAAAGTGAACAATAACCAAACAAAGAGATCAAATTAATAAAAGTAATTAATACACTAAGAAAAATTAACGTAATTTAGACAAAGAATCCATATTTTTCTTGGCGGAGTCATCCTTGCGAATATAAATCTGTCCATATTTGACCCACACATATTTAAATTCTAGTTCCTTAGCTAGCTTTCTGGTTGCAGCGTGTAGCGTCTTTTGTTCAGGGGACAAGTGTTCCGCGACAAAAATCCTGCATGAATCTCCGGCAATATTGAGGTCCGTAGAAGTCAAGCCACAGCCGGCGTTCGAAAGCGAACGAAGAAGTAAGATATATTGTGTACCAGCTAGCAACATTTGAGTTCAATCAATATTTTTAATGTAATTATCATCCGATTAAAAAAAAACACTCATACAACTCTTCAATAAGTTATTACACAAAAAAAATATAAATACAAATAAAAATAAAAAAAGGTAAGTTCCGCCGCTGTGATTTGATCTTGGTATATATCGGTTAATCACCAGGCACTTATCCGTTGCGCCAGGACGCTCTAGTTAGAATAGTTGAATAGGCTAGTTGATCCTTTTTGGAAAAAGGTTTTTAAATGGTTAATAAATGTTCTATTGCACCGAAAAAAAATGTATTGTATTTTTTTGAGACCTAAAAAGCTACAAATCTTTAATTTTAAAATAGATTTTTCATGGACATACAAAAACGCTGTCGGCCATTTTAGTCTATAGATTATTTATGCTATGACGTTAACTGCAGTAAACAAAAACTCGTGCACGTAGAAAATAACTTAACTGACTTTATAATAAAAAAACATGACTTCTAATAAATACCACGAAAAATAAAGTAATTATCATTATTGTATTGTACGAGAATATAAAAACACATCTTGAAGACTCCAGGAAAGTTGTGGATTAAAGTGCCGAAAGGTTAATTTCTTACGCAACTTTATTACACTTATTCATATGTTGTATCAGTTTTATGTTTGTTACTACATTGTAATACTAAATACACTTTACTTACATAGATGCCTTGTCGTTTCTCTGCTCCGCAAAGCAGAAATCGGGGTTTAGTGCAATAAATTCACCAACCATCAATGCGTCAATTCTTAGCAGATTTGTGCTTTCTGTTTTCACAAAGCCGGCATCCATAATTAGTTTTTTCAAAAAAAAAAACAGTAAACGGAAACTTTTCTAAAGTTAAAAGTGTTTTAAGATGTCAGACGAAAGAATCCATCCACAGTAACACGCGAATGACATTTAATTGTTTACCATAAGAGACGTCACAATCATGGCGGATGTGGCGAACAGCGTTTTTAGTGTTTAAAAAATATAGACTAAAAAATATTTTTTTAAATTAAATTTCTACAGCAATCTTCTGCTTTTATAAAGTGAAATCGATATATTTAGGTTCCTTAGACCAAATTCTTTAAGAAATAAACATTTATTTAATACAATTCGACATGAGTCAACTAGCCTATTAATGTGTTTGTTGCAGCGGAATATAGTCACCGTGGAGGAATAATCGAATGAAAGTCCAAAGTTCAATTTCCGATATTTAAAAAAGGAGGCAGGTGTAAGTCTTTCTTAAAATTTTAAAATTGTCATTAATTAAACAGAATAATAGTCGTATCAATCTCTATTCACAGCGAAATCAATTTATTATTCCACTTTGCTCGGGAGTCCACTCGCGCACAAAATTGTTACACAGTTTACACACTTCGTATGCCACTATTGTTTTTCTATTACTTAATCACTTTTATGTCGATTTATAGCAAGATAACGATATCACTGGTTAATTGAGTTGTGATTTACTTAGATTTGTGACTTTTGCTTCACAATAACAAGTTAGGTAATTTTAAGCGAATTTTTTATACGGAGCGAAGTTAACAGTTGCGACTACTTTACTTTTCTCTACTCTTTTGAGATTTTCCTTGTAGGCAACTGGTTGTGTGTGAAGAATAAAAAAAAATCTTTCGCAACTGGTTGCTCTGAAAGCATAAAAAATCCTCGTAGACAACTGGTTGCAAAACACAGTTGCGATGGTGGCCGAAAGCGAGCTTCACGCATTATTATCATTTTAACAACGAATTAGAAATGATATGAAATATTGACTGCGCTAAAAAGTGGTTCCACACAAACTGTGATATAGTGGGCAGGGCGAAAAAATGCGATCAACACGCCGATTATGGGATTGGTTGGGATTCCCATTTAATATTCTCATCTTACCCAATGAATGGATAGCCGAATTCAGATATTTGATTCGTAAAATTATTTTGTTTTGTCTGTATTATTGTCGCGTTAGTATTGAAGTTTAGCTGTATTCATTTGAAACCATGTTTTAGCAGCCTTTGCTAGAGAGTAACGCTTTCATATCATTTCTAAGTTGTTGCATTTTAACAATTTGTCGCCCGACAACTCAGTCAGACCATCTCCTCCTTTTTGAGAGGCGCCTCACCTCATCCTCCAGCTGGTGGCGGTGCCTCTGAGGCCACGCGCGCTGTCAGCCCGTACCCACGGCTGTATGACAACCCACACTCCCGACATCGCCGCCGCCACTGTCGCACACCCCGCCCTCACCTCGTCCACCAGCTGGTGGCGGTGGCTCTGAGACCACGCGCGCTGTCAGCCCGCACCCACAGCTGTATGACAACCCACACTCCCGGCACCGCCGCCGCCACGGTCGCACACCCCGCTCTCCCCTCGTCCTCCATCTAGTGGCGGTGGCTCTGAGGCCACGCGCGCTGTCAGCCCGCACCCACAGCTGTATGACAACCCACACTCCCGGCACGGCCGCCACCACTATCGCACACCCCGCGCTTACCTCGTCCTCCAGTTGGTGGCGATGCCTCAGCGCAAGTGCCGCGTCCGCCTCGAGCGAGGCCACACGCGCCATCAGCCCACACCCGCAGCTCGACGACACAACACCAGTCCCAGCCACACTCCCAGTCCCACTTCCGACCGAAACGCCGCCCACTACGGTAGCGGAATCAGCTTGTTGATCAGTCTCCGGCATCTCCTACGTAACAACAGTAAAACATTACACTGATGGCTCAAAACTAAACAGTTTTTAATATTAATATTCTTTATTATATATTACCACAAAGGACACAAAAGTAAGTTTACAGACTTAGATAGTAGATGCTAACAGTTGGCACTTTATTTTAATACTGACAAATACCCTATTGTGCAGAAATCGTAAGTCTCCTTTTATATGAAATTTTCTTTTCATCCCCTAACTTTTTGTGATAAAGTTGTAAATATCGTATCTGCGACGCAATAGCGCAACATTGACTATTGTTGGATTTAAAATTCTGAAAAGAAATGACAATATTTCCAAAGTTATTTATTTACCTATTCTTTAACACTATTCAATATTATCCGTCATCATTCAGCCGTTCGTTGCCCACTGCTGAGCAAAGGCAAAGTTACAAGAAATAAATCAAAGCATAAGTCTCTTGAAATCAAAATGAAAATGTTAAATATATAAAAAAATCTACTCACCGGTATTTCAGACCAGGAATCATGTACTGGCTCACTGGTTAAAGTCTCAAGTGAAGGTTCTGGGTTGTCCATTGATGGATAATTATGTTCTTCACAAATCTGTAAGTATTTTCGTTTAATCAGCGCATTATTTCCCTTTTTTTTAATACTACGAATGCCCATTATAACGTTTCTCAATTTTAACAATGGCAATATTTAGGAAGACTAGCCTACATGAACCAAATCTGTCTCTGGTTAAGCGTATCTCACATTAACGGCCAGGTTCATTAATCAACCTCTAGTAAAAGTTAAGGATAATCTCGTGTCGTTTCTAAGCAACAGTTGTTATTCAACAATGTCGCCTAGAAATTTTTATTACTTAGATTAGAAAAACAACTGTTGCTACATAAATAACTAGGTTATCCTTACCTTTTACTGTAGGTTGATTATTGAAAGTGCTCGTAAGTGTGTGCTGTTATTGAAGTATAATATGTTACCTTTAGCGGCGGTATGGAAAGGGTAGCCCAGTCATTATTGACGTTTTATTTTTTGTCATACACATATTGGCGTAACGTATTTAACATATTGGCGCCATATTGTTGAAAATTTCACATATTTTCAAGTAGAATTTATCCGTCGTTATAGCCGTCTTTCTGGATACTCTCTATTTTGTGAATAAGATGACTATTAGTTGCCTGAAGCATCTGACTAGTCGCGGTATGGATGAGTATAGCCCAGTCCAGGGCTGAAGCAAGGTAGTAAAGGTAGTTAATCCTACTGTGATGAGTATAATACACAGTACAAGGTTGACACCCTGAGTTCCTCAGCGATGCCGTAGCTTTTCGACCTTAACAAGTACTTGTAAGAGATAAGTTAGTTTGTAAACTAGATTGAATTTGAATAAGTTGTCTGTAGCATCGGTCTTGTGGCGGTATGGACGATGGTAGCCATGTCAAGGACAGAGGCGTTGGGCATAGACAGAACTGAACGTAATCAATCCTTTTACGTTGTGATTCAACGTAAGTAACTACCACGCAAAAGCCGAAAAACGGCTCAGAACTAAGAGTCGGTTCTGCCACGCAGATATTGACTTTACTTTTACTACGTGCATGCTCACGCAGTTTCAAACGATGAAAGCGAAAGCTACCCTTTGGGAAATTTTTTATTTCGTGGTTGAATTAATTACCTGAAGCATCACTCTAGTGGCGGTATGGATGAGGATAGCCCAGTCTAGGGCTGAGGTGTCCGGTAAAGGTTAAGGCGGGGTTGGGGCCATGACCGGAATCAATGCTTCTACGTTGTGTTACGTTTACAGGCTTTCTCACGCAGTCTCAATTTATTATATAATTTACCTGGAGCAACGCTCTAGTAGAGATACAGACGAGGGTAGCCTAGTCCAGGGCAGAGGCGTCCGATAAAGGTAGAGGCGGGGTAGGGACGGTGACAGAAGTAAATGCTTCTACGTTGTGTTACGTTTACAGGCTTTCTCAAACAGTCTCAATCTATTATATAATTTACCTGGAGCATCGCTCTAGTGACGGTATGGACGAGGGTAGCCCAGTCCAGGGCAGAGGCGTCCGGTAATGGCAGAGGCGGAGTAGGGACGGTCACAGAAGTAAATGCTTCTACGTTGTGTTACGTTTACAGGCTTTCTCACACAGTCTTAATTTATTATATAATATACCTGGAGCATCGCTCTAGTGACGCTATGGACGAGGGTAGCCCAGTCCAGGGCAGCGGCGGAGTAGGGGTCGTGACCGGAGTCGATGCTTCTACGTTGTATTACGTTTACAGTCTCAGTCTATTATATAATTTACCTGGAGCATCGCTCTAGTGACGGTATGGACGAGGTTAGCTCAGTCCAGGGCAGAGGCGTCCGGTAAAGGTAGAGGCGAGGTAGGGACGATGACAGAAGTCAATGCTTCTACGGTGTGTTACGTTTACAGGCTTTCTCACACAATCTTAATTTATTATATAATATACCTGGAGCATCGCTCTAGTGGCGGTATGGACGAGGGTAGCCCAGTCCAGGGCAGAGGCGTCCGGTAAAGGTAAAGGCGGAGTAGGCGCTGGCACCGGAGTCGACGCCACGCCGTTGTCAGTGGGGCGGGGACCTAGTTCCGCGTCCATCAGGCGCATTAGCTCCTCCTTTCGATATCAAAAATACAGTATAGTTGTCCGCATTATTTTCAATGTAACAATCAGACAACAGTCATTAAATCACAAAGTCGAAAAAAGTTTTTTAACATTTAAAATGTTTTTTCATTCGCTCCAGTAGGTCCCTAAAAGTGCGACTTGCCCGTGATACCCCGAGGTTTAGCGCCACGAGGATGTATGAGGGCTCAAAAGACGCGGAAATTGAAAATTATTTTGGAAAGCCAAAAATTTTTTGGAAATCGAATAAAACCGACTTTATAAGACCTGTGTTTTTACCGAAAATTTCCGATATCTAGAGAACGGGGCTGGATTTCAAAAATATGAAATAAAAACACCTCGGTATTGAACCAAGGAACATATTAGGTCATTACACTTTTTTCGATATTGACGACGTTGACGGTGACGGTTGAGGCTGTAGAGGAACCCTTATCAGGCGGCGGGCGGCTCACGTGCGGCCACGAGGACGTATGAGAGCTAAAAAGACGCGGAATTCGAAGAGCTTTAAGATCATGTAAAAATATTTTGGAAAAGTTGGTTTTAAAAAAAATGATTTTGATGTGTAACATCTTTCCTCTCGCTTTCCTGCAATTTGTGGGAGTGATTTCGTGAAATGGGACGGAATATGTAACAGCAAACCGCGAAAGCACGCTATTTGATTTGATTTTAGAACATAATGTTCAAATGGCTTATTCCTTTTGTAGTAGGTTTTATTTCTTTTTTTACTAATATAAGGTGAGGTTTCAAATGTTACACATCATACACGACTACTGTAAGGCTCGCTCGTTTTTTATTTTTTGTATAATCTATAATAGGTGCATTTTCAATGCCCTTTCAAGTCGTGTAGAGAGTCGTGACGAGATCTGTGAATTTTTCTTTGACTTGTGTAATTTATCAATGGGACATTTTCCACTCCGTGTGCTGATAAAGCAAAAATGTGTGAAAACGTATGGCTCGTGTTTTTCACTTACCGGCGACGGGATAACAAGCTTCCCACTCTCCGCTGGCCGTCAAAACTGCATTAGTATTGTAGCGGCAGCCCGCGACTTCGTACGCGTGGAGTTAGTTATTTGCACATACTTTTTGAGTCTAAAAGGGTTCACTGCTTGTTCCCCGTAGGTGATAGCGTGATAATAAGTGGCCTATATGTTGACCCGACTTCTTAATAATATTCGTGACAAACAAGAAAATCCATGCAGTACTTTTTGAGTTTATCCCGGACATACATACAGACAAAAATTCTAAAAACTATAGTTTCGGCTTAGGTATCGATTGTACATCACACCCCAAGTATTCTTTTAAAAAAATATTCAATGAACTGTTTTGACTTTCCTACCATTTTATTATATGTATTGTAGCCGTGTGCATGCGTGAGGACGCGGAGACTCGTACTTGCTTTATGCACTTTGAGTCCAGCGTCCTGGCATTTAAATACGACATCGTTACTCTATAAAATTTGCCATCTCTGCATTGGTCGTAGATGTAAATATATAACAAATACAGACAACGGCTCGAGGAGACCATCTTATACGCGTTGTACGTGTCGTGATGCTGTCATTAAGGAGTGCGTAAATGGTGAGTGGATAAGCGCCTAATGACGATAAAAAGACTTACTGTGAGCGAGCTGGTATTGGGCGAGGAGCGACGGTTGCGAACGTTTCGCGGCGAGTCGTCATGGGATCTCCGTCGTATCGCTGCTTCCGATACGGGCGATGTTTGCGGCGACCGTCGCGCACTGCGACCTGAACCCCCTGTTTTCAAATAAAATAATTATAGATACATATGTAATTGTGTCGATTTTGAATTAATTCTCTAAACTTAAAAGTAAATTAAACATGAGTCTCTCCATTTAATTCTGTAAAGAGAATGACTAGGACACACTGTTGTCAAATTTAAGTTTAGGTTTAGAAGATCGTGCCAGATTCGAAACCATTATGTAAGTATTACTAAAAGCCTCCGCTGCCTTAAGCGGGACACGGAGCGGACATCCGTCGCGGAGTTCCGCTCTGTGGCCTGTCGCAGATAAATCCAACTCGGCCAAACGGAACCAACACATAAGCACGATCGATTGGCTAATCGAGCGAGCCAGGCGTTATATGGTCGAGCCCCGTCTTCTTCTTAACTTCTTTTAGTGTGTCCCGCGCCTTAAGCCAGATTTACATGATTAAGTAGCTGGCGCCAGTTTTAGGCGCCTAAAAACGGTGCCAATAACTGGACTGAATTATATCATTTACATTTTTGCCAGCAGTTGCATTTGAAGTTTTGTGGTAACTACACGTTTGGGAAAACTTGTTCAATAGTTAACCTTTCCATATTCATTGAATGACAAATATTTTGTAGGGCGGTTATTCGCTTCTGTTTATTTCTATAATTCTGCGAACGAATGTCCCATAAACACTCCTCATCTTATATATAAAATTCTCGTGTCACAATGTTAGTTACCATACTCCTCCGCAACGGCCAGACCGATTTTTATTAAATTTTATATGCATATTCCGTGGGTCTGAGAATCGGCTACTATCTATTTTTCATATCCTTGTGATAATGGTTGTTCACCTGTAACGTAGTGTTCTGAAACCTACAATGCACCTTCGCGCCAAAATTGTAACTAATGGGTATTGTAACGTAGTGTTCTCATATGGACTAGGAGGAAATTGATAGAACACTACGTTACACACCCCTAATTTTTGTTTTTGACATTATTTATTTTTTGATATTGTGGTATTAAAAAATACATACAACCCTAAATTTTCTCTTCTACCACCTGCCTCCATTTTTATGGCGGTACGAAGTTCGCGGGGTCGCGGGCGGGGTTATATAGACCCATTTTTGTATTGTAATGTGTTATCATCACCCCACTTTCGAGACATTTTCTTGTCAACAGTTTCAGCAAATCAATAACACGTGGTGACATTTAGCGGCGGCGCCAGTGACTGGCGTGAACGTGTTTAAAAAGATCCAGTGACGCTGGCAAAGGGAGCGGGGTGTGCGGGGTGTGGGCACTGGCACGAAAAGTAGGCCTTCGTTGTACTCCATGCCAGCGCTGGCACCAAAAAATGTTTACGTGGATCCAGTGCTGGCATGCCAGCGGGACTGGCGAAAGCTACTGTATCAATGTAAATCTGGCTTTACATACGGCGGCCGGCGCGGGTTGGCGGGTTGTTGTCGTGTGTGAGTGTGTGTGTGAATGCCCCCCCCCCCCCCCTTCCACTGACCGGTGCCGTATCCGGAGCTGTCAGAGCGCGGCGGGGAGTGCGCGGCGGGTCGCCGTCTCGCGGGTTGTTGCGCGTCGGCGCGGCACACTCGCTCCTCGATCTCAGCGCTCGTGGTCTCGCAGCCGCAACGCGAGCTCGCAGCGAACGTCACCGCCACCTAAAACAATACATTCCGCACATTTACTTTTTCACACCCAAACAAGTTACAAAGGACAAGGCTAAGAAACTGCCCTTAACGTGTATAATTATTTCGCACTAGCCCGTAACTTTATAATATAATTTCATTGATTACTACGCGTTTATTATTCTCATACAACTTTCGTGGAATAATCAAATATTTAAAAGTATAAAAATTGTGTAAGTATATCGAAATAAACAATATTATTTCTATACTCCTTCAAACTATGACATTATTTGGCCCTAATTTTTATAAAACAAATCACTGCAGGCCTAAATTATAGATTTTATTATTCTGATCTGGATTGAGACAAGGCTGTATGATAATTAATCCTTTAATTTTTGCAAATGTACAAAATAATACTTCACGGATTTCCTGTCAGGCCAACGATACCAAGTTATTTGTATTTACTTTTGGTCTAAAAAACTTTTTGTGAAGAGTTCATCAGAGAAATGGGAAGATGGATTCTAAGAAAATGCGAAACTGATGACTCTGTAAATAATTGGCAATATCTTCTATCAACTGAAGTAAGGTAATGGCATAGTAGTTCTCATAATTTTCAAGATTCGTGACTTTGTCAAAACTTCCTAAGCCTTTTTTCATAGAAATTATAAATATTCAGCCATTCACCATTAAATATTACCAAGTACAATATTTATACATTGCTAGGGCAATCGCTCATACAAAATTTTACCATGTCTATTAAATGATTAGTTACTGTTACTAAACCGTCCGTCGTATCAAACGCCATGATAATCACTCACCGTCACTGGGTCGGATGTCTTGAGCAGGTCGACCAGTTGGTCGTGGTGCAAGGCGACGACGGCGGCGCGGCACACTTCCAGCAGGCGTGCGCCGCGACGGATGCCGGCGCGCGCAGCGCAACCGCCCCCCTCCACTGCCGTTACTAGACCGTCCGGTTGAACGTGGAAACCTGTATAAATAAATAAATATTTCCAACACTCACACCAATATGGGTGATGACGGGGTACAGTAAACGAAATTCTATTTAGTCCGTCAGTTAGATGATCAAAAAATAATGGACACGTATTTTTTCTTTGGGCAATCAACCAAAAAATGACAAAGTTATAGCGCGTCAAAGTTTGGGAGTAGGGGCTCGTGACGTCACTTTTTAGTGAATTTTCACTTAAAATTGTACCAAAACGTGACGTCATGCGACTTTTCAAATCAAATATATCTCTGCAATGTTTATATTATATGAAAAAGAAAAAATACGTGTCCAATACTTTTTGATAATCTACCTGATGAACAAAGAAAAAAACATTGGACATCATCCCTATTAGCCTAGCCCCAAAGTAAGCACTGTAAGGCTCGTGTTATGGGATACTAGGGTATCGGATAGAGAATACATATACAGTACATAATTAAGTATATTTATATAGAAATACATATCAAACATCCATGACTGGAGTACAAATGCTCGTATTCATCACACAAACCATCTGCCCCCACCGGGATTCGAACCCGGGACCTCTCGAGTAGACGACACCTTGACACCCGGCGTACAAACCACTCGGCCATGGAGGTCATGGAAAGGCATATGTATAGGTGGCAGCAAAATTCTTGAGCAAAACCACAGAAAGATAAACTTGCGCAGTACATTTTTGTATGTAAAATTGCTACTGCACTGGCGTCTTCGTCTATGGTCGTTGCTCAAGAAACTTGCTGTGATGTAATCAACACTATTGATGTCGATTCTGGCATGATTCTCTAAACCTAAACTTAAATTTGACAACAGTGTATCCTTATCATTTTCTATACAGAATGGAAAGGAAAGACTGATGTTAAAGGAAATTGCTCAAATTGGCCCAAATGCACAAAAAATATTGACATATACGGTAATTCTTGGCGTAATTTATACTTTATTTTATAATCATTAGATTTTAACGGACACCTTTGTATTATATATTAATTTTAAAATGGACTTTTAATTTTACCGGTTTGGAAAACATACGAATCATTTTTAATGGCTATGGGTACAGCTATGGTTAATAACATTCAGCCAAACATTGATCGAAGTTGTTTATCAAAACAAATCTCTTTGTAAAGTATGATTTTTTTTATTACATTGTGTAATATTATTTTCACTACATGCAAATGTGCTAAGACAATTATTATAGATGGTAGGCGACATCATAAAGTCTATTGCCATACAACACCTCAATAAACACATTATAAGGTGTTGTACGAGCAAGCGCGTACATTGCCGACGCAGCGTTTCTTTATTAACCTAATTTACGTATAATTCATAATTTATTTTGCATCGTTCAGTTTGCATTCCGTCATCAATCATACCACGCGTCCTCATTAGTTTAATCAGTTTATAGTAAGTAAATCAAATATATCCTAGTTTCAAAGTTATTTACAGTTATATTATTTCATCAGTTTTATTAGTTTTTATGTTACGAGCTCCCCGTACATTGGTCCTTCGAAGCTTTTCGGAAAAGCGGGATCAGTACACACGTGTCGCGTGTGAGTGAACTTTATCGCATACGTGTCTCCGGTTCCGTTACCGAACTATTGAATCAGTGCAGTTACAGTACATACATTCAGCAGTTAATACCAAATATATAGACCTTAATCAGTGAATCTGGATTACCAAGTGAAGTTCAGAGAACAAGTTTTCGGATTTTCAACATCATCAGCGACAGCAAAGGATACGACTCATCTTCCACGGGTCGTAAGCCACACAGCATCAGTATATCAAGTAAGATCTGTCCATTTATACATTAACAGCAATGTCGTCCGTCAGTGACATCTCCGCAAATCTTCAGCAGCTAGCGGCGGCGATTGAAAATGTGTATACCAATTTCAAAAAAGACGGAGCTAGCAGGAAAACCGCCGACTACATCAAGAAAAGATTGGATATACTCGATAGTTAGTGGGTGGAGCATGAATCCAATCATTCCAAATTATCAGCTTTTGAGTTGGAGCCATCGATGAGAGACCATGTAAACAGTGATTTGGAGAAAGTGCGAGAAAGGTATGGTAACATCAGAGCTCATATTCAAAGTTGTCAGGTGACGGCTGAGGAGAGACCTTCGTCACCTCTTATCAAGCCACCAAAATTTTTGCCGAATCCGAGTCAGGGCTTTACACAGCCGAACAGTAGCAGAGCAGTTCAAAATACATCAACTGCAACGTCAAGTGTATTTGAGGGCATGCTAAAGAAGCAACAGAGCAACTTTAAGGCGTTTCACAGGACTGTAGTAGGTATTGATCTTGAAACAGTGAATGAGAGATGGGAATTTGAAGATCTGCTCCACAGCATCCAATCTAGGTGGGCCGCAATCGACACACTGCATTGGGAGTTAGATAGTCACGCCAATGAACCTAATCAAGAGTATGAAAAAACATATACTTCTTATGAAAGTAAGTACCAGTCTGTTAAAAAAGCCATTAACAAGAAAATGTGGTCTATGGCCCACAGACAAAAGTCTACACCTCAGATGGAGATCCCAACATTCAGTGGGAATTATAATAATTGGGTATCTTTTAAAGATTTTTTCAGTGAAACAGTACATAACAATAGCTCGTTATCACACGCACAAAAAATGCAGTATTTGAAGTCTAAACTAAAGGGCGAAGCAGAGAGATTAATCCAACATTTAAACATTAGCTCTGATAATTACTTAGTTTGCTGGGATATAATAAATCAAAGATATAACAATAAAAAACTTATATTTAGTTCCCATATGAATATTTTGATGGGCCTTCCCACTATGCAACACCAATCAGCAAGTCATTTAAAACGTATTCACGATACAATACAGGAAAGTCTCAATGTGATAAAAAATTTGGGAGTCAACATTACGTCATGGGATCCCATTATAGTACATCTATTAACTCAGAAATTAGATACAGTTTCATATACAGACTACATGGAATCGTTGCGTGATCCGAGGGAAATACCAAATTTGAAAGAATTTTTACAGTTTTTGGAAGCCAAATTTACGTCATTAGAAGCATCAAGAAGGAAACCGGAAATTCCTATGCAAAAAAATCATATTACGAATAAAAACGAATATTATAATATCAGTAAACAGCGACCCAGTTACTATAAAAATGCATTTGCAAGCAGTAAAATAAATCCACAAGTACCTAACTACAAAAAGAACGTATCAGCTAAAAGTTACTTTTGTGTGTTGTGCAATAGTACAGACCACGGAATTTATTTCTGTCCACAATTTTTGGAAATGACGCCTCAAAACAAGTTAAACACTGTTAAAAAATTAAATCTTTGCCAAAATTGTCTATATAATCATAAGGGTCAACAATGTCTATCTGAGAATTTTTGTCGTCTTTGTAATAAGGCTCATAATCGCCTACTTCACGAGGCATTCAAACCGCCAGCCCAATCACCCAGAACGCCCGCGGCGGGCAAAATTCGAACACGCGTGAGTGTAGAGCCGCTGACGCAACTATAAACGCTGACGCGGGAAGACAAGTCAGAAGTAGCTCACACGTGTCGCTGCAAGGTACCAGTTCGAAGTTTTGTTACCAACCGCCATTGTTAATATTCAAGCCGCGAATGGTTCCTATTATGCCATGCGCGCCCTATTGGATCAGGGTTCACAAACGTCATTGATATCAGAACATGCAGCACAGATCTTGAAAGTATCTAGAAAACCATGCAAGGGTGTTATAGTTATAATTTTTATTATTTTAAAGCATGTAACTGCTTGATGTTTAAATCTAAAGAAAATATAACTAGAAAAAATTCCACGCGGACCAGGCAGCAGACGGGACTCGAACCCGCACCCTTCGCAATCCGGCCGAATGCACTGACCAATTATGCTACCGCGGCCATCACGGACCACGTCGAAATTCTTCTAGCCATTCTTAAGCTGCATGGCAGCGCCATCTCTTCGCATTATAGGTAACCCACAATGTCAAATGAATAATTTTACAAGTATTAAACATTTGAAAGAAGAAATAGCAATTATAGTTATAATTTTTATTATTTTAAAGCATGTAACTGCATGCTGCATAAAAGTATTCATTTGACATTGTGGGTTACCTATAATGCGAAGAGATGGCGCTGCCATGCAGCTTAAGAATGGCTAGAAGAATTTCGACGTGGTCCGTGATGGCCGCGGTAGCATAATTGGTCAGTGCATTCGCCCGGATTGCGAAGGGTGCGGGTTCGAGTCCCGTCTGCTGCCTGGTCCCCGTGGAATTTTTTCTAGTTATATTTTCTTAAGGGTGTTATATCTGGGATTGGTGATAAAGAGAGTAACTGTAAGGGTATTATAAATATCAGATGTTCATCAGCTGTTAGTGACTTTACTTTTCAAACAGACGCTTTAATAATGAATCAGTTGATAAGAAATTTGGCAAGCTATACTTTTTCTAAGATCATATAAAACTAGCAGATCCTGAATTTTATAAAAGCAGGCCTGTAGATGTTTTATTGGGCGCTGATATTTATTCTTTTATATTAATGGATGGAATGTGTAATACAGACGCTAGCCTCCCCACTGCTCAACAAACGCAGCTCGGGTGGATATTAAGTGGCAATGTTAGAACTATTCAATGTAATGTGGTTTTGCACAATATCAAACAAATACAAAAATTTTGGGAGATAGAGGATATATCAGAAAAATCAGAAGTATCATCAGAAGACGAACAATGTTTACAGTTTTATCAGTCAACTACTCTCAGACGTTCAGATGGGAGATACGAAGTTAGGTTGATTAGGTTAGGATATGAGAACAATTTAGGTAATTCAAAATCTAAGGCGGTTGCACAACTTTATAAATTAGAAAAGAAATTACAATTAAATTATGTGATCGCGAGAGATTACAAGCAGTTTATAAATGAATATTTATCGCTGGGTCACATGACACCGTCAGCTGTAGATTGCAATATGAAACTCAGGTGCTATTTACCTCACCACTGCGTAACAAAAGA